GCGTAAAGATGAAATAAATAAAATAAAAAATAAATAGACCATCCTATCCTCATTGGGACATGCTGAGAATTGTAAGATTTTTTCTCTCTCTAAACATGTGCAAGATTGTGCCCTTGACCATTTACTTAAAAAAAAAAAACAAGGGTGGGGGGAAGTAATTATACAATTATTATACAATGCATCCAAAAAACCACATCTCCATGGACTCAGTTATAGACAAGTAGCAGCTTATCAAAATCACAAGAAATCTATTTAATTAGATTTATTATCCATGTTTTCCCCCAGTTGCATTCCTCAACTGCTTTTCCACTATCCAATTTAAGTAGCACTAGGTATATTAAGCCGTGTGACATCTGCAAACTAGCATCAGAAGGGGATAGAAGGTAGATGAATGGTGGCCATCTTCAGAGCATTTCTTTTCAAATAACAAATCAAAATTAGACACTAGAACACAGCAGTTGACCAGAGGCCATCTTGGATCTATCTTTGGATTTGTGATATTTCCTTCCATCTTCTTCCTTTCACTGTCCTTCTCCAGACTACAGTAGTGGAATATGACTAAAGAAGATGAATAATACCATGATTTTTCTATCATTTGCATGGGTGTTATAATGTTAAAAGCACAGAATTTTCTAGATCTTCTCTCATTGTCCAGATTCTGAATCAGACACCAAAATCTGCACATAGAGACTGGGTTTCCATGACAAGAAAAGCAACAAGTTATGAACAACATGTCTGCCTGTTCTGTTGTTCGAATGGTCTTATCAGACACTGTGATTTATTGTAGTTGTCAACATGATGGTCTGTTCCAAAGTTTCTTCCTATCTGAATTGTTTGTTGCATCATCCGAGTAGGGACAATACAATTCATTGTGACAGAAGCTCCAGAACAAGAGAATTGCCTGGCAAGATAGCAGTTGCTGCTTTTGCAAAGTAGATAGCCAGAAATTAAAGCTGACAGCTGCCCCAGTTTGGCATGGCTGTCAGAAGTGTCGGATGCTCCTCTAGTATCCTGCCTTGGAAATCTTCTTTGGTACAAAAGACTGGCCAATCAGCTAGATGAGGCTGCCCAAATGGGGTATTGCTGCTCAGCTGATTGTCTTCCCCACTCATACCTGGGAGGAAACATCTCACATGTGAGCAGGAGCAGGGACAATTGCAAGGCACCACCTTGGGACCATGGGTGCAAGCACCATCTTCATTCTTGCCTCACTCCTGCTTGGAAGAAAGATGCTCCACAAACCACCACCCAAGCACACACAAGGTGGTGGGCTTATTCTTTATTTGATCCTGTTTGAAAGAAAGCTACTCAGACAAGAGTGGGGCAAACTGAGAACCTGGGATAAGCAGAGATGTTCTGTTTTTAGCACATCCCAGCCTAGTCCAGGCGTCCTCCTTCTTGTAGGAGAGGCTTTCTCTCCTGAAGAAGTGGGGAGGGGGGAGCCTGGGCTAGTTAGGACACACCAAGAAGGGAGCATCCCCCACTAATGGGGAAATCAGCTAAGCAGCACTGCTCCTTTCAGCAATACTACCGAGCTAATTTGCCCATTTCTGCATGAAAATGGGTCAGGCACCACTGTCTCCTCTGCAGCAAGAGGCAAGGGTGCTTAATCAGCTTCCAAGTCCTCCCTGCTGCACTCAAGGGCATCAACCCTATTCACAGATATTTTTTAACAGTTGCGGTGAGCTGTTAAATCAGCTAGGAATCATGGCTACCAAACAGGACCCCCATTCCTCTCTGTAGTGACACCTGGAATACTGCCTGAAGAAAGAGATGAAAGTAGGCTTGAAGAGGGAGGAAAGTAACCTGGATGAGCCCAGTCAACTGTCAGGCTCATTGCATATACTTGGAATTTCATGGCAACCCATCATGCTTATTTATCATGAAGGATTGTCGGGAAATACAAACCCACCAACTGAATTGTAGAAGAGTTACCAGCTATCAATATCGTGTATACAAATTGGCAGACAATACCCTATGCTCACATCTTGCTCTGTAAAACAAAAAAGCCGCCCCGAAGCTTTGTTGTGACGGGGGCGGCATAGAAATGTTTTAAATAAATAAATAAAACACATCTGCCTAGCATGGTGCTGTGCAAATGCTGATTTGACACTGGTAGGTATATTATCAGCCCTTAACCAGCAGATAAATCCTAATGAATGTTCCTGTGCCTAGCCTCTGAGACACAGACTTTTACCTAGGGTATTGGAACCTAACATTAACACTATTTTCTTCCAACATAGATTGTTAGTTTTTTGTTTCTGATGAAAGCAAAGTTATCCATGCTATACTTATACAAATGCTTTTCCTTGGATACACTTTGAAGTACCTTAGCGATCACTTCTACTTGGGAAGAGGCCACTTTTTCTACATGCAAACAAGAATTGGTAAAGATAGCAATTGGTGACTGAGATACCTTTAATTTAATACACTGCCTCTACACACATATGGATCTATATCTACCACTGAAAAAGGGAACCATTAGTGTCCTGGGCCACATCAGTGCTGCAAATTTCCCATGTAGCCTGTGAAGTTTCCCTTTGCACTTCCCTTGGCCATGCATCCCAGCACTGACAAAACCATTTCTCACCTTGTTGGCTCCTCCTTTCTCCTACCTTCCCACTCTCACCATAGCATCCTCATTTTGCAGACATAAATCGAAGAGTGAGCTTTTGCTGGGGAAGGGAACAGATTTAGTGACTGAAAAGAGAGTGCAAAAGGTTAAATCACAAATTATCTCCAGTGCCAAATGTTGTGATTGACCCCACCACACTCTCCGCAAAATCCCTGAAGGATGGATGATGATGATGAAGAAAGGGAGATAACTAATTCACCTGTGTGCAAACATGCACAAGCACAAAGAAAAGCAATTTTTTTAGAGACTAAGAGAGACAAATATGAGATCTACACTCATTCCTTTTGGATTCCTGGCTTTCAGGGAAATTGCTTTCATCCAGGTACATTAACTTTAGGGTAGAACTAAGATGCTAAAGGTCCACTGGCTTAGCAGGTTTTAAGGAAAAGATTTTTCTTTACATTTACAATGTAGATTTCCCTTCTCCTCTCACAGAAAACAAAAGAGGAGCAGAGTAGTTAAATGTTTTCTGTTCATTTGTGCATTGTGTGCATTGCATTCTTTTCCTGAGAAAGCTCATGCCGCTAAAGATTCCCAAATTAGGGAATATCTGAATATCCAACAAAGCACCACAAGCTTTCTAAATGCCCAACAGACACTTTCTGTATGATGGGTGTGCTGTGATTGTGTGAATTAACACTAGACAAACACTCGACCATTCAATACCTTCTCTGCCATGTCTTATCTTCACTTCAGAATTACATTAAAAAGAGAGAGTGTAGAGATAAGATGGCACAGAGAGAATCAATTAAGGTATCCTTTTTACACACCCACTTTTAAATTCTACCCACTCACTTTTGGCAGAACTGTCATTCTACCACAGTTGGCCCCTAATTGACAACTGGCATACAGCTCCCAGAAGGTTACCAACAAAAAAAACCACAGCCTTCAGGTTGAAATGGATTTCCCACCTTGGGTCTATCAGTTAATTTAATTTTAAGTAATCATATTTCAAGGGACTACCATTCTAATTGAAAATACGATTTTCCATCTTTTATGCAATGTGTCCCTCTCCACTTTAAGGCTGTATTTCTACGATGTTGGAAGGAGCCGATTAATGTTTGAAAAAGAGTTGATGTGACGTAATGATCCAGACATAAAATTCAGAACAGGTTTAAGCATTCTTAAAGTCTGATGTTTTATTTAAAATAAAACTTCATACCTATTCTACACAGGGCTATTATTGACAAGGATTGCATGATGCAATGTACTATCAACCATGGTGTGTCAGCATGTAAAAATCTGCTGCCATTTCAACAGGATAGCTTATTTTTCAAGTCAACCTGAGAACTCATGGCTTGTTTTGGGGCTGTTTAAACCCAGGCTGTTTTCACATGATGTCGAAAACTAACAGGACAATTTCATTGCAGATTGTCAGGAACAGCTAGACAGCTGCTCAGACCCTGCTCTTGTAATCTTGCTAATGCTACCACTACCTTTCCTCAGTGTCCTCCATCCTGTGTTCCTAAAATTGAAAAGAAAAGGACACCAGAAAGTATTCTGAATAAGTCAGCATTTTTTTCCTCACAAATGCACAGGAATGAATGTCCACTGCTAGGAATTTGCCTGATTTTCCCTCAGCTTTACTGTTCTGAGATTCTATTAACTCTTTTCCAATCTTTATCTGACGGATAGCAATGCAGAGCAGTACAGAAGCAACAAGCATGAAACATGAAAGCATCGAGCAGCTGCAGGAAAGAAGATGCTTTAAGGAAGGGTGGTTTCTTACTTCAGTAGAATGTGAAACAGTCTTTTTTTAAGCCATTCAGTAGTGGAGAAAGCACAGAGGTGGAGGATGAAAGGGACATTAAGGCAGGGTATGCTTCGCTAAATGGCAGACAGGCACTCTTTTGCAAGAAATGTTTTCTAGAAAAATTACTAAAAAATTACTGCATTCACAAGGACTCAAAAATTAATTCAATTTGACAATCTGACAGGGCAGAGGCCAAGAAGCCAGCAATCCCAAACAGTCAATTGCAGAAAGGGAATAAGGAAACAGAGTTGTGCCTGAAAGACACCTAGAATACATGCTGGGACGATTTAGCAAGACTGAAGAGGGGATGAAGTCATGGAAAGCCACAGAGTACATAATTGTCTATCAACTTAGCAGTAAACAAGCAGCCCACGGTGGCTTATTCTAAGGGGGGCTTAGTAGGACATGCAAACTGATCAAGTCACCTTAACCATCATTATATCTTTGACCAGAAAGGATGTATAACAGTTATCTGAACAGTGTAGTCTCATGTCAAAGTAACACCAGGCATTTCACATGAGCTAAAAAACTATTCAGTCCAGCACAGTGTTGTACATCTATGAGTCTATTTAAATGCCTCAGCATCAACACACAAATGAGTTAAGCACCTACATAAGTTTAGAAACAGGCCAGGACAACCAACTCTTCTCTCCGTTCTCATAGTTAGTAACTGTAAAAAAAAAAAAAGTACATTCCATCATAGAGCTCTTAAGTAACTGAAATGGGAAAGTGCTGATTTTTCACAAAAATGTTTAACATCTCTCAATATTAAGTTTTCCAGTCTCTATACTGAAGAACGGCCAATGTAAAGAGTAATTTTGAAAAAGAAATGATCTGGAAAATTAAAGACCAGTACACTTAACATAGACACTGTATAAATTAATTGAAAGTACCAAGAAAGATAAAATTAGTGACAATATAGAGGGACAATTCCTGTTGAAAAAGAATCAACATGGCTTCTGCAAATGTAGGTCCTGTCTCACTGACCTTTCAAAATTTTTTGAAAGTGTCAATAAACTGTGGAAAAGGGCAATCTGGCAGACATTGTTTACATGGGCTTCCAGAAGGGTTTTAACAAAATCATGCACCAACTGCTTCTGAGCAAGCTTAACATTAATGGAATTAGAGAAAAGGTCCACTTATAGATCAGAAACTGGTTAAAGAATAGAAAACAATTCATTTCCATGAGACACAGTGATGACTACCTACTTGGATGGCTTTAAAAATTGCCTGCTGGTTGCAATGTTTATTTGCTATCTCCACTACATGAGTTGTCGGAGAACCTGGGTACAAAGATGTTGTCACATTAATGTCCAGCTTGTGAGTTTCCCATGAGCAGCTGAATGTCTAGAATGTGAACACAATGTTGGACTAGATAGACCCTCAGAATGATCCAGTATGGCTCTTCTTGAGTTCTGATGTTGTTTGATCTACTTTAATATGCTGCTTTGTGAAAAGTGCATATGTAAAAAAAAACTAAATGCTTCAGCATGCTTACATTCCTAGAAGTAGACACCTGGGACTAAGTCAATTCCCCATCTCTTGTGGAACACATAGATATCCAATGGAGGGAATTGAAGAACACAGTGCTGTAGCACCAAGTTATGAGAACTCATTTATTTCTACCACAAGTAAATACTTAACATTTAAATAGTGCTTTAGAAGGATGAAAAACTAGTATGTGTGATATTATTGTATCTTTACAACAACCCTGTACAGCAGGTCCCTATTCTTATCCCTCATACTGCAGACAGTGAACCAAGACTCTAGGATAGTTAATTCATGGAAGAGGTAGAGGTAAGATTCAAGCTGAGAACTTGGAGATTCTTAATTCTGTCAGCCAGCCAGAATATCCTTTCTTCCCAAAATGTATAAATGTTGTTTAATTATTGCTTACTCTTTTGTAAGGAGCTAGTGCAAAATTATTTAATAATTATTAGCTTCACTACTTATTTTTTGTTAGCCTTCCTTTGGCCAACACTTTTTGGGGCTACTAAATCACACATGAGCAGTTTCTAATGGTTCATTTAACCTTTAATTCTTGCAATAAAAACTCTCTCATTCTTGGTTTTTAAACCCCTATATTAGCAAACAAGATAGCAAATAATATATGCTATAGGCATAGGTCTTCTCTGAAAAGCTGGGCTCTTCAAGTGCTTCAGCTGCGATATAAGCCAGTGAGCCATGGCCAATACAAGCTAATTTGAATAATCAATATGACAACCTTATTTTTCTAATGCAAACAGGATTGATACAGTAAGGTGTCTCCCTGCCACATCACAGTCATGGCCTCTTTTAACCCATAATTAGATTTAGGTGATTATCCCTGCTCTTCCTTACAAGTGTACAGCTCGGATAAGGGACGACAAAAGCTATCTGCCACTTATTTATCCTTTGCAGACGGTAGGTTATCCAGAGAGATAGAGGGTAAGATCTTCAAACAATTGTTATTCATATCATCTACAGTTTAAAATAGTCACGGCCTCCATACTTGCTAAGTGAAAATAGCCCAGAGCAGTAGGTACATGAAGGATGCTTAAGAACATCAGGGCAACACAGATGGAAATGTAAGGTGATGTTAGCCAAATTATGCCTAACTTAAATTGGTTATCACAAAGAAATATCAGGCAATGGTTTTCTTCTCAGACTAGCAACATTAAATTTTAAAAAGGTTTTCCCTCTTTTGATTGTTATATTAAAAACCAATATTAAAATTGGTTGCAGACATAACTTAAAAATATAACCAAAACCCAGTATCCCTAAAAGTATACACTTAATATGAGCACAGAGAGAAAAGGTCCATGATAGAAATGTAACTGCATTTAATTTACAGCCCCTCTTATCTCAAGCATTTAAGCTGCAGCTAGTATTTAGCCAAAATTACAGCCATTCTTCATTTTGTTATACATAATATTAAAGCTAATGATATAAAAGTATCATCATTTAGTAATATTTCTACAGTATTACATAAAGAAAAAAGTCTGCTTAAAGGAAAGTTCAAGTACAAAGTATCAGGTAGTTAAAATGTGATGTAATTCAATAAAATAAAGGCAACATATTTCCTCTGACATGCTGAATAACAAGCTTTGCAGCAAATACTATGGTTAGCACTTACAGCTGCTACTTTTGGTTAACTGAAAAGAGTAATTGCAAGTAAAAATATTCTTTTGTATACCTAGAACTTTAAAAAAAAAAGAAATGAACATCAGTCCATGCATTTTAAAAAATAACTAATTCTATATATAGATATAAAATAGTGTTGTTTAAAATCTGTGAGCTACATTAGAAATTCTGCTGTCAAATTATATAAATCTGCAGCTTTAAATAAACATTTGCTTTTCACATTGTTAACAGACTCTTCAGAAACAAGTTTCACTTTAAAGCATTTTTCAGTAAGTGCTTATATATTTGTAATTACAGTTGAGTAGTAGTTTCAGCATTAGACCAGTTCCACTGGGTTAAGGTCTCAAGCAATGGGCTCATAGAACTGTAAATACTAAGCAATGCTAGTTTATTGTAAAATGGCTGAAGCTTTACAGCAGAAACTTTACAATAAGTTGGCTCTAGGTTGTGGGGTGACGGCAAAAGAAGGGATGGCAGAGAATGAGGTGGCTAGATGGAGTCACTGAAGCAGTCGGTGTGAGCTTAAGTGGACTCCAGGGGATGGTGGAGGACAGTAAGGCCTGAAGGAATGTTGTCCATGGGGTTGTGATGACTCAGACAAGACTTCACGACTAACAACAAGAGGTTGTGAGGTCCTCAAATATTACAGGCATTGCAAAGTGTGATAGGCCTTTATCAATGAAAAGAGGAGAATACACTATTTTGTTCTTGATATTAAAAGGGGAATGAATTTTCAGGTTAAGACCTTCATTACTTGCTCTGAGCTCACAACCTAAACTCACATCACACTACAGGAAGCACTATAATAAGAAAGTTCCCCTCATACACACAGACAAATAGTCTGTTAGTAAGATGTACATGACAAACTTTTGTGCTGCATTTAACCTTGCATTAAATTGTACTTTAGAATAAAAAATTCTTATAATTTTGTTCAATAGTTCCAATTTTCTTTTAAAAAGGAAATATAATTCCATGCACCTAATAATAATTATGAATGAAGTCCTAAAAAGATGCATGCAGGCACAAGAGAAAGAAAACAAACTGATTAAGCCTTGCTTACTTTTTTCCCACCTTGCAGTTCCTACTGATAAAGGTAAGTACTTATGCACGTACAAGCTTCTCAACTCCAGATGTTCCTCTGTGAAACTAGTTATTTATATCCATTTCAACTGCTTATAGGATTAAGGCAAGTCTAGACATCATGGTAGACAATTTATGCTGAGAACTAGACATGGACTATTCAACCCTGTCAATTCTCCTGAACCTAGCAGAGAATTCCAATACCATACTCTTGACTACAGTGGTACCTCGGTTCACGAACCACAAATTCATTCCACGATTCTGGTCACAACCTGAATTGGTCGCAAACCAAGTCAAATTTCCCCATAAGGTTCAATGTAAATAAGGTTAATTCATTCTGACCCCTACAAACGTGGTCACAAAGCAATTTTGGTTGCAAACCTTGTCAAATTTCCCCACAAGGTTCAATGTAAATAAGGTTAATCTGTTCTGAACCTTAATTTTGTTATACATAAAGGACGGCATATAAAAGTTTTAAATAAATAAATAAATAAATAAATAAATATCAAGATATGAACCACATTCCCGGGCTGCAGGCCAAGCCACAGCTGCCGAGACGAGCCCGGAGGCAGACAGGCCGAGGTGGAGTGGTAGTGGGGCCGTGAGTGGGGTTGCGATTCCCACACCTCCACCGCAGCCTTCTCAGGGCAAGCCACCACTGCTGAGCAGACACCATGCTTCTTCCCCCTTGCAGTGGGGAGAGGCAGGAGGTGCCCCTCTCAGCTGGCCATGGCCCTCCCCTCCCCTCGCCTCAGCTTGTGGAAAGCAGCCCTTACCTCCTTCCTCATAGCCCTCTCCCGGCCGGGGGAGTTGCCCTGCACTCGCCTCTCCAGCCTCCCACTCCTGCTCCCCCACCCAGAGCCAGGTGAGCTCCTGCGAGGGAACCTTCCTCCAGCATGGAAGCGGAACAGCAGCAAGGAGGTGGGAAGGCCGACCAAGGTTAGCACACCCTCATGGCTCCCCCTCATGGAGTGTTCGCGTGGAAAAGATGGCCACAATTGCGATCATGTTCGTGAGGAAACATGGCCGTGATTGTGGTCATCACCCGATGCAGAGTTTGCAAATGGATGCAAACTTTTGCCAAAATATCTGTTCACAACCCAATCTGGTTGCGAACTGAGGCAGTCGTGAACCAAGGTGCCACTGTACACGGCTGAGATGGACACGTTAGTCATTGTTTTATGCTGGCTTCTGTCCTTCCTGGCCATTTCTCACATTTTCTATTGCATCAACCTACTATCAGAGTTGATCTAGGAATTTTGAGTTTGGTGTCATCAATATGCAGATACGCCTATCTTTATTTCTCCTTTCCAATAAATTCCAGGGAGACTGGAAGGGTACCTTACTAGTGCTTTAGACTTTTAATGAACTGGATGGGCAAATGAAGTTTACTGAATAGGAGGAAGAGATTCATTAGAATCTTGACCAAAGTATAGGAGCTGACTTTCTTCCGGATGGGGGCAATAC